CTTGACGATATTCTTATCTTTAGTAAGTTTGTCGAGGAGCATGCACAACACTTAGAAACTGTACTCTCACTCCTGCGACAGCACAAGTATAAGGTCAACTTAGAGAAATGTGAGTTTGGACGCACTAGGATCTTGTACTTGGGTCATGAGGTATCCGCGGAAGGGATTAGGCCGGGAGATGCGAAGGTGGCTAGTATTAGGGACTGGCCACGACCTCAGACTGTTACTGAGGTCAAATCTTTCTTAGGGATGTGCGGCTACTATAGGAACTTCGTGAAAAACTATTCCACGGTCACCTCTCCTTTGACTGATCTAACTCGACTTGATACACCGTGGGACTAGAGTGATGAGTGCGAGGCTGCTTTCAAACGATTGAAGCATGCACACATGAATCATGAGGTTCTCATGGTGCCCGATCCTCAGAAGCCTTTCATTGTGACCACTGACGCAAGCCAATACAGCATTGGCGCAGTGCTGGCTCAACAGGATGGGAAAAAGTTGAGACCAGTTGAGTACATGAGCAAGAAAATGCCAGCAAAGAAACTGGCAAAGTCCACCTATGAAAGGGAACTCTATGCTCTCTGCAAGGCACTTGTCCATTGGAGGCACTTTCTGCTGGGACGGTTTTTCTATTTGAGAACCGACCATCAGACCCTTAAATGGATCAAAACCTGCTCTTTCTGATGCACTCAAGCGCTGGATTGAGGTCATAGATCAGTATGACTTCAAACTGGAGTATCTGAAGGGAGAGTACAACAAGGTTGCAGATGCGCTGTCATGTAGGGCAGACTACCTAGGGGCGCTAGTTTTTGAATTTGGCATATCCGAGGAAGTAACTCAATCGCTGGTGGGAGCCTATCAGGAAGACCTTGTCACGATGGACATCATACGCAAGCTGCAGGCAAAAGATAAGGCCACAGAAGATGAGTTTGTGATGGTGGACGGGCTACTCTTTCTTGAAAAGTTCGGGTTTAAAAGATTAGTTATTCCATCTAGTGAAAATTTGCGCAGTTTGTTTTTAGGAGAATGTCATGATGCAACGGGACATTTTGGTTGTAAAAAGACCAGTGCAAACCTGGTACAACGATTTTGGTGGCCTGGAATGCTTGATGATGCAAAGAGGTATGTGCAGACCTGTCAGGTCTGTCAGTGGGACAAGCCCAGAACTCAAGCACCGCTTGGGTTGCTGAAGCCGTTGCCCATCCCCACTGGCCCGGGACAGAGTGTGTCCGTGGACGTCATGGATACCCTGGTGACCAGCAGAAGCGGCAAAAGGCACATCTTTGTCATCGTAGACCGGTTCACCAAGTATGCTAGACTGATCGCAATGCCAGAAACTGCGAGGACCGAGCACGTCATCAAGTTGTTTATGGACAATTGGGTGCGTGATTTTGGGTTGCCTAAGACTATTTTAGTGATAGGGATGTCCGCTTTACAAGTGACCTGTGGAAGAAGACTGCAGAGCAATTAGGCAGTCAACTTCAGATGACCTCCGGGAATCATCCCGAAGCCAATGGACAGGCCGGGCAAATGAACAGAGTTGTACAACACCTGCTGAGGCATTACATCAAGCCCAGCCAGGATGACTGGGATGAGAAATTGCCTCTTATCGCCAGCCTGTACAACAACGCTGTGCACAGCAGTACCGACGTCAGTCCTAATCAGCTGCACTTGGGATGGAAGCCTCTGGACTTCCTCCTGCCTGAAAACCGACCTGCTGCAACCCCTGGTTCAATAGAATATGGGGTGCAGTACGAGAACTGCTGCAGCAAGCTGTCGAGCACATCAAGAAGTCTCAGGAAGTGATGATGGCCTCCGAGAACAAACACCGTCGACAGTCCACATTTCAGGTAGGGGAACGTGTTTGGGTGAAGGCTAGTGAGCTAGGACAGGAATTCGGCATCTCTCGAAAACTAATGCCACAATACTTCGGTCCTTGGGAAGTTTTAGACGTAGTTGGGGATGATTTGGATGGTCCTTCCTATGTTATCCGTATCCCTGGTCACCTGCGCACTTACCCATTTTTTCACGCCTCAAAGCTTGGACCTTTCGCTGAGACAGATCAAGTTCCTTCACGGAGATCAACGCTGCCCCCAACCATGGATGGCCACGCGGACATGGACGACATTCTGGAACACAGAGACATGCCTGTTCCCAGACCTCTGGGCCGAGGAAGACCTCCGAAACCCAGTAGAGAATACAGAGTCAGATTCAGGCATCACACAGCAAGAAGATCGGTGGTTCACAAGAGAAGAACTGGTTGAAACAGCTCCTCAGGTGGTCGCTGAATATGAAAGACAGCTAAAGGGGAAGGCACCTGCGAAGTACACATCTCAACGGACTTTCGAAGCTAAGGGGGATGGAATGTGAGGATTGAGCCCTCAAAGGGGCCTTGCCGTGATGTACATGTTCTGGGCTAAGGCCCCCAGCAAGCCTCGTGCCCGCCCTAAGTGAAGGCGGGCCAGCAAATCAACGAGAGCCCCTTCTTGTTCAACATTTCACGAAGTGGGGTCCGTACAGTTGCCGCACGCCAGTTGGTTGGAGTGCACCAAGTACCAGATCTCTGCAAATGCAGAAGGACCAGGGCCCCAGAATTGGTTAGGCCCTGGGCGCATAAACGTGAGGCCGACATTGCATGCTGGACATAGAGGCCGAAAATGCCAATGGGAAACGGGTCCACTATCTGAATCTGGACGCAGGCCTTGATGAAAGAGGCGCAACTGTATTGCGTGGGCCCCAACCGCATTGGGCCTGGGTTCAGGTACTGGGGCCCAGGCGCAGGCTGAAGGGAGGCCGCCCACACGCAATACTGTCATATAGGCAGAGCGGGCGAGGGGGCAAGGATCTTGGCCAATTCGAGCAAGGCCGGCACACTGCGCATTTGCGAGGTGCTGCGCTGCGCTAGGCTGAGAGAAGGCAGTCTGGCGCTAGGCGGTAGGGTGCAGCCTGGGCGCAGGGCGCTGGCAGCCATAGCCAGGCTGCATGAGGGCGCTGGAGGAGGTGAGGGCGAAGGTGGTTTTTCGGAAGGTGAAGGGCGCTGTGTGGGATAACGAGGGAGAGTGAGGAAGGAGAGAGAATGACGTACCTGGTGGAGAGGAGGTCGGCATTGGTGTTGACGTCATCACTCGCTGGTAGTCAAGTAGACTGGTTGCTTCCATGACTGTAGTTGTACGATAGGGTGTAGAGTAGATAGGGCGCCTGGCGCCATTCAAGAGAGAGGGCTACTTCGGGTTATGTTGTTGGTGTTTCCCGATTGGGCTTGGACATTGGCTCACGACTTTTGCTGTATCGTTCTCAAATGGATGGTTGCTTGGTTCCAATGTGTTATCTGCTCTTGCTTTGACTCCTCGGACTTCAGTGTGATTTGCAATTGGGATTTCTTTGCTTCGTCCACATTCGTGTTCCTTGCACATGACGATATATATATATAGCCTCCTGATGAGTCGGTGAAACTCCGACGAAACAGTTTGTCACAGCCCCTCGTTTGTTGTCCTCTTCTCCCTCTCTGCCTACGGTTTACCGGGCAGTTCTATTTGACGATATATAGATGTATATTTTACGGAAAAAAAAAGTTCGCCCGAACGTGAAGGAGCGCGAACACGTTCGCCGTGTTACGCAGGTCCTGGGGATGATCTACATAGAAAATTAAAAAAAACTTTAAAAAATTAAAAAAAACATGAAATAGTTGAAATTGTATTTCGTGATTATATTTTATTTTAATAATATTTGTATAAGAAATTAAGAATGCTCTGGATCTTGAAGTATGGGTGGCTATTGTCTGGGTATTAGGATGGGCATTCCGTTGTCTGGATCTGGATGATGTCTGCCGTTGTAGGGTGTCTGGGCTTTGCACCTCCATGGACTGTCTGGGATGGAATAAACATAAACTGCGGATCAAGTCCAGTGTTAAACATATGTTCCCCTTGCCCCCCCCCCCCCCCCCCCCCCCCCCCCCTCCCCCACTCCACTGTGGAATTTAAATTTTGAAGTGGAGAACAAACAGTTATGGTATGTTTTAGAGGACAGGTACGTGAACAGCTCTTTGCTTAAAACTGATTTAGCTATGAAACTAGTTTTTACTATTTAGTAGTTTAGCTATGAAGCTAATGAAATCTTTTCATACCGAAACGTAAAAATGGCTTATCAACTTCATCTATGAAATCATTTAAAACCTTGTCAAATAACCATCGCTTGTTCAAGAAACAATAGCACTTCGTGCCTAGTGTACTAATTTCAAGACATATACACCTCGTATTACATACTATTACTATTTATAAGGCACAATTAACTTCTACTGTCTCTATTTTTCATGGAATTTGTGGAGCTTTTTTAGCTACAACTGTTTTAATTAGTATTCTTTTTTTCAAAGTTTCTGAACTTAGTCCGACTTCTTATCACTTTCATTTGTTTGTTTTTTTAATTTTTTTACTTCATTTGTTATTTTCATTGGTTAAACCACTAGCTTCTTCACCCGAATATAATGCCCTGTCATTATGGCTGTATTTGGGGCACTCTTCAGTCCAGGTGCAGCGATAATCACCGGGTGTTCTATTCGGGTTAAGCTTCAGTTTGTTTTAAATTTAGCTTTCTTAGCACTATGCTATCATATGAGCAATGGAATTCGACATTTATTGTGGGATTTAGGGCACAGCTTAGAGTTATTGAAAGTGTACACTTCCGCAACTATCATGTTCTTTTCCACAGTCTTGTGTGTGTGTGTGTGTGTGTGTTTGTGTGTGTGTATGTGTGTGTGTGTGTGTGTGTGTGTGTGTGTGTGTGTGTGTGTGTGTGTGTTTTCATTTTTTTTACGGTTTGCTTTGCAAGGTGCATTCTCTTAGTTCATAGATATGTGACAATATATGGCTGAACTGAGTGCAGCCAGGCCTTCAGCCACAAAGGAGCAGCAGGCAGCAGGTACGTAGTACATACACTGTGCACCAGTCCTGACACAGATGAGATGCTTGGTGTTCTGTCTATTTGGCCCGTCTCTCTGAAAACAGCTGGATCCTGAGAATGTGGAGGCTCTTGTTGCTCTTGGCCATCTTGAGCTCAACGACGACGAAGGTATGTACTATGTAGTATTGTACTATGTAGAAGGGGTTGTTATGGAGACAGTTTGCATGTAGAAGAAACTAAGGTCAGTAGTTTATTTCAAATTTGCATCTACTCATCTGGGTGCGAAGGGGTTGTATGGTGACAGTTCACAAGGCGCACACTGTCGGGGTTCAGCCTCCTGATGAGTCGGTGAAACTCCGACGAAACAGTCATGCTTTCTTTTTTTTTTGTGAAATTGTGTGCAGCGAACGTGGCAACCCACACACACAAACACACAATACATTCAACAGGCCCCAATTTGGTCTCTAGGACCCCAGGCAGGTCAGTCAGAGTCCTGTAGAGCCCTAGGGTAGGGTAGGGGTAGGGGTAGGGTGAGAATCGCCGGTCTCAGGGTTGACTTGGCCATCCAGGCCTGTATCCGGGTACCCCAGGCCTGGGTACATCAGGAGGCAGGCCCCAGTCTTTTGACCAGTAAGTCTGAGTAAGATCGATAGCCAAATAATTCTCCACAACGCAGTTTTAGCCACAGATCCTGTTTACATCAGACAGTAAAAGCGAAGTTTGTGGATGAGTTTGGGACCCCCTGCAGAAGACAGTTTTGGCCTCTGATCGCATACACTTCACGCTTCCGCCGAAGTCTCTGGGTGTACTGGGACACAGTTTCCCAGCCATGCGCCGGTCGGCCGAAACTGGGGGCCCTGAGCCCAATCTGCGGACGTGTGCTGTTTCTGTGGACGACCTCTACCTCGGACGTGTGCAGTTTTCACGAGCGTGACGCCCGGGGTATCCAGGCGTGCAAAAAAAAAAAAAAAAATTTGCCTCTCTGCGCTGTCCCAGAGGACCCCAAATCCAGGCTCGTTTCATTTTTTGAGAGTTGGCTGTCAAGGGCGGGAAAGGGGGATATAAATTGTTCTTCAATGGGCTAAGGGGGGTTAAAGAGGGGTCCTTTAGTGTGATTTTGTTATTTTCTTTTTTTTCTCCGATTCGGTGAGGAATCCTGATGTGACCCTCAGCCAAAAGTTGTTTGTATTGCAATTCTAAACAACATGTTTTTTTTTTTTTCTGAATCTTTTTTACTTTCCTTGTTTTTTTTTTTGTTTTTTTTTTTTTGCGCTGGGGCTGCCCGGAGCCCTGCCCGGGCACCCAGGCATGTGTCCGGGCACAAGTTGGGTGTCTGGGCGCCCGGAAAAACAACCTAGGTTTTTCCCGTCAAGCAACAAAACTGCAATCAGACTTACTTTCTTCTTCGCTTCACATACATGCAAACAGGTGGCGATTCACACTGCCGCACAGCGCCCACGCAAAGCTCGGAGATATGGAAATCAAGAACACAGTTCAGATGCAATGTTGCTTCAACAGGCCCTGGCGCATCAGCACCTGTACATCTCGACTCTCGTTACTATTTCCAACTCCACTGTTCACACTCACCCAACTCTGGGTCACCCTGAATACTCCACACACATCCACTGTATTACACACTCACACTCTAACACCTCTCTCCTGTCTACAGTGACTGTGGCCACTCAACTAGTAACTATGGCTACGCTATCTTCTTCTGGCCCACTTCAGCTTCGGGCACTCTGCAGACCACCTCACACAAGACACTTGAGACAGCGCTTCCGCATGGCTTACGCAGCGAATGAATAAATTGCTGGACGCTGCCTCTTGATTTATATTTCTGTTGGTCGCTGGTCTGCCCCTTTCCTCCAGGCCCTTGGTGCACGCAGTCCCACATGATACTTGCTTGACTGGACTGCGATTGACTGGGACCGGTACCGCTAACTGCACGGGGTTGCTCTGCAGTCGCACTGCCGACTAGACGCAGTTGGACTTACGACTTGCCTACAGTCCTCTAGCCTAGCAGTTTCGACCTCTACACAACTGTAACCCCTACTTGACACATCTACAGATCGAATCCCTACAACTACAGGGACCTACGACCAAGAACAGTCACTACTAAAACACAGGTCTCGGGGCTCAAAACACACAGGGGTCTACTCGATACTGTACACGGGTGCAGGTAAGGTCTAGGGATTGAACCCTGGGATCTGCATCAGCTTCTGCAAAGGTGAAAACCGTTTCACTCCCGCCGGCCTAAATTCGAGGTCCTTCGAGAATACTTCAGTCCAAGGCAGGACCTTTACCGTTCTTATCTCTTTTACCGTTCTTATCTCTCTCGTAGGCTCGGACTATATTGGGAGCGGTCTCTAGAAGTTCTGCTCTGGTGGACCAGTGGTCATCTTCAGGTTCTTGATAACAGAATCTGACTTTGTACTGTTTCTGTGGACGACCTCTACCTCCTGTTCTGAAGACATCCTCACCTACTATGCCATCAATGTCGTATCTTTCATCCATATCCGGAGGAATCATAGACCTTCGTGATGGAAACTGTTGAGTCGTAGTACAAGGTAACAATTTTGATGCATGGAAAGCTGGGTAGGTGTGGAGGTGTGATGGAATCTCTATCGTGTGGGATGGTCCATCCTCTCCACCCTTGACTTCTAGGACTGGCCACGGTCCTCTATAAGCAGGTAGCAGCTTTTGCGAGATGTTCTCCTCAAGCGCAAATTCCTTCTCGTGCTGTATCGCAAACTCTCTGGTACCAGGCGGTAACCTCTGAATCTGATCTCTGTTAAGTCCTTCAAACGGTCTGCGTGGTTTAAAAGACTTATGTAGCTCATTGGGAGTGCGACAAGTGGCTAAGTGCACGCTATTGTTGTAGGCACTGGCTACTTTTGGGAGCATTTCATCCCAGTCCAGTTGATCGGGCCTAATGTACATCCTCAAACGTGCTGAGGGACTTTGTTCATCTATTCGGTCTGTCCGTTGGTCTCTGAATGACGGCCAAACGACATTAACAACTTTGATCTGTAGACTTTCATTAATTCCTGCCAATTCTGACTCGTGAATTGGGTGTCCCTGTCACTAACTATAGACAATGGTAGCCCATGTTCACTGACCTAGTGGTCGAAAAACTTTTGTATCACTAACTCTACGCGTGCCTCAGAGGGCAAAGGAACAAAAATGGCGTACTTGCTAAACCTATCTACTACGACCATGACTTGACTCTTGCCGTGTCTACTTTTGACACCAGCGTCCATGAAATCTATAGACACTGAATCTCCGGGTCCTTCGGGGATAGGCAATGGTATGAGAAGACCTAGAGGGGCTTGTGTAGTAGTTTTATTCCTTTGATACACCTTGCAACTACATACATATTCCATGCAGTCGGCCTTCATACCACACCAAGTATACGCTCGCATGAGGTTGGCTAATGTCTTCTGCCAACCAAAATGTCCCTTTGTATCATGACATTCCCCCAAGATCAAACCTCGGATCTCTTCGCTATTGGGAACGCATAGACGGTCTTCAACATTAGTCTTCTCAAATAACAAGCCGTCTGTAGTGCGGTAATCTGGTTCTGATTCTGGTGCCTCCTATACTCTCTTGAGGAGGTCGCTATGGATAGGGTCCTGCGTGTTGCAGGTCTCTCCCTATATCCAGATAGTGCACTATCGCTCCAAAATAGTCCAATCTCCTACTCAGAGCGTCCGCAATTACATTGTATTTCCCCTTGATTGGCTTGAGCTCAAAATCATACTGATCTATCTCTACGGTCCACCTAGTTAGCTTTGGTGTTATCTTGGCCTGCATTTTCAGCCACCTTAGTGTCTCGTGGTCTTTAAAGTGCCTCCCAAGCAAGTAATGCTTCCAGTGGTCTAACGCTTGCCTGAGAGCGTAGAGTTTCCTCTCGTAGGTGGATGTCGCTACCTTTTCTGAAGGCATTCTAGCAGACATGAACTCTACGGGTCTGTATCCATTACCACTGTCCTGCTGTAGAACAACACCTATACCATATTGACTTGCATCAGTGGTGACGATGAATGGCAATGATGGATCGGCTACCTTAAGGGCATGATGCTCTATTAAGGCCCGCTTTAACTTCTTCGGAGCCGCTGTACAGTCTTTATCCCACTTCCAAATTGCCTCTTTCTTTAGCAACCTGCGAAGGGGAGCAACGATGGTGGAGAAGTTCCTGACGAACTTTCTATAATAATTTGCCCAAGAACGACCGCAACTCTGTCAGCATGCGGGGAATCAACCAATCTCTAATCGCTGCAATTTTGTTGTCCTCAGGCTTAATGCCATCTCCATTTAGAACATGGCCCAGGTATAAAACCTGTCTTGGCCCACTCGCACTTCTTCGCATTGATCTTGAAGTTAGCTTCTCTCAGCTTCCCCAAGACCTGCCTTAGATGACCCTCATGCTCCTAGAGGGTCTTATTGAATACTAAGATGCCATCTAGATATACAACTACAATTTATCTAACCATGGCCTAAACAAGTCGTTCATACATCGCTGAAGTGTAGCTGGCACGTCGGTTAGTCCGAAGGGCATCACTATAAACTTATAGTGCCCGTATCTGGTCCTGAACGCCGCCTTGTGCTGATCATCAAGATGGACCTCTATCTGATGATAGCCTGACTTCAAATCTATCTTGGAGAAGTATCTGCAGCCCTGCACTCGATCCAACAATCATCTATTCGGAGCAGTGATTTTGCGTTCTTCGCTGTGATGGCGTTGAGACCCCTATAGTCTATACACATTCTTAACTCTCCCTCCTTTTTGGGGACAAACAAAACAGGCGCTCCAAACGGAGACGAACTGGGCCTAATCCACCCCTTCTCAGGGAGCTCGTCTAACTGCTTTCGCAACTCCTCTTAACTTCCTTGGGGACATTCGATACACCGCTCCTTTGGGAGTTCTACTGCCAGGTTCTATCTCAATTCGATGTTGGATTGGCCGCTGTACTACTCGTGTAGGCGGTTAAGACAGATCTGCATACTCCCCCAACAACTTGGCAATATGAGGGTTTATGGGCTCTTCGGACTTAGGCTCAATGATTGGCCTAACATAGGCAACGGAAACCTGTTCTTCTAGCTTCTCCTTCTTCACTAACCTTGCGAATGCAGGAGCGTTGAGGCAGCAATGTGCTAAAGGGTTCTCT